ACTAGAAAACTGGTATAGCTTAGCACTTTTGAAGTGGTCACTCCAGCCATGCGATTTTAGATATTCACCATATTTTTCATTACTTTTTTAACTTCAGCACTAGGAGCCGCTTTCTCTCTCCTCAAATTTTGGAGTCCACAGAGGCTAAGCTATTTTAGGAGCTAGATAGCTAGTATGGTACAGCCCTTTGGAGATGCTCTGAGTGCTGAGAAGTCTGAAGTCTGTTCTTTTCGTAACAGTGGGAATAAGAAAAAAAGGCTTATTCTAATGAAAAACCGAACTGTCTCTCACATACAAGCTGCAATTTTTGTACAGCATTGGCTTGTTGATGAAGATTGGCTTTGCAATAAAATGAGATTTCTTTTTTAATATTTAAAAAATTGAAGCTTGGAAAATTGTGTTATTGACACATGTTCCCTCATTACGGTTCTCTTTTATGGTGGAATTGATATCACTCCTTTGATGATGATGCAGGAGAACAGCTTGCCTCTGGTGCAGACGGTATGAAGATCACTCATATTACTGAATTTATTTTTATATATACTTGACCATCTTTATTCACTTATTTTTCTAGTTCATTGTTCCCTTAAAGTACCTTTTCCTCTTTTTATTTATTTATTTATTTTTTCTATTAATCAGGAGGTGAGCTGATTGTATGGAAGTTGCATGCAACAGAAACTAGCACAACGTGGAAGGTCCTTAAGACATTGTCGTAAGAATTTAAATTCAATAGTTAACCTTTTGTATCCATTGGATATTTGTTTAAAGTATAGTTGGCAACACAGCAAGCTTAGGTGATTTAGGGCGGACCAAATCAGGGACGGGCCTATTGATCCTATGCATTTGACTCATGCAGTTTGAAACCAATGTGCTATGTGTATTCTAGAAAATAAATAGATCAGATATATATACATGCATACATGAAGCTTCAAGTGAGGATGTCCTCATTTAAGAAAAATCTGCGAACATCCTGATGTAGTACAGCCCGTAGGAATTAGATTAAGCACTCAAACAATAGAACATAGAAGAATATAAGAGACCAAGGAGAAGAAATATAGATCGAAAAGACGAGATAAAGGGCAGAAACAGTAGAACAAAGAAGAATATCGGAGATCTAGGAGAAGAAATATAGATTGAAGGGACGAAATTAGAGAGTTCTAGGAAAAGGCTTACTCAACATTCAAATCTCAATTTTAAAGAACTACATGGGAGTATTTATAGCAAACTAAAACCTAGACATAATAGGATACAAATCCCTTGCTTAAACTCAAATTCAAATAAAATAGGAAACTTAAAACTAGAAATCTGGAAATCTGGAAAAGTAGAAATCCTACTAGAATTTGGAAAACTAGAGTATCTAGGAAACTAAAAAATACATTAGGAAACTAATAAATTTAGGTCCTATGCGTCCTGCATCACCTACTATACTAGAATTTGGAAAACTAGAGTATCTAGGAAACTAACAAGTACATTCGGAAACTAATAAATTTAGGCCCTGCGTGTCCTGCATCACATCCTCACCCCAACACGTGGTCCAAATGGTTGGAAGCTTTTAACTTTTAGGTTCTCTTTCAAGGATCATCCATACAAAATATCCATTCAAATGGAAATTGTTTAGCCATTTGATTACAATCCAATTTTATTTAGTAGACACTTTGTGGGGCCCATTGTGCATTGTAGGTTGAGGATTGGAACCATCTATGGTTTAAGTCTCTACCAAAGGATCAACCTTGCAAAAAATGAACCTAATCCAAAACTATTAAGACATCTAATTGTTTTCAAATAAATAGACGAACATAGTGTTACCATTTTGGCTGAAATTACCACCCTTAATCAAATGATTGAATGGTTTTTTTTATTTTGCTGATTCTTTATTTCTTTTGGCAATGATGATCATTTGACAGAAACTTAAAAGATAGACATCAGATTATCGAACTACAATGTGGAGTGGGCTCCACAGTGTGCCCCTTATATTCGAGGGTTCCTTCAAATAAAGGGGACTGTCCCAAAATCTGAGACTTAAAACCAAGAGCTTATTGGGCCTGATATAAAATGATAAGTAATATCTGTTAGATCCAGGCCCTTAAGGTGGATAATGTGAATTCATTCTAGTTTTTGTTGGTTTCGACCTGGTAGTCTGGCATGTTGGAGTTCAATTTGAGATGTTGGATTTCAACCTAAGTATCAGATATGAAGGCCATGATAGTTTATTGTAATTTGTAACTGTTTAGAGCTTTGTACCTGACTTTTTCTGTTATAGATTTCACCGCAAAGATGTGCTGGACCTCCAGTGGTCTACTGATGGTGCATTTCTCATCTCTGGGTCAGTTGATAATTCTTGCATCATATGGGATGTGAACAAAGGTAAGAAAGACATTGCCTAAGCAGCATAACTATAACAAATCTGTTAAATTGTCAAAAGATTCAACTCTAATTTTTCTTATTTCTATTCCTCAGGTTCTGTCCATCAGATTCTGGATGCCCATTCCCATTATGTTCAAGGTGTGGCATGGGACCCATTGGCCAACTACGCTGCTTCCCTAAGTTCTGATAGAACTTGTCGCATTTATGTCAAAAAAGCTCAATCAAAAGCAAAAGGTGCCGAGAAGACAAATTATGTTTGTCAGCATGTTATTTCAAAGGCTGAGCCTCCACTGTTGGATGATTCTAAGGTTAGAAGTTTGTATTCTCTACGTATTTCATTGATCCTAAGCATAGATGGAATATACATGTTCTTAGCCTCTTGTACGTTTTTATATGCAGTCTGCAAAATACCATCTCTTTCATGATGAGACGTTGCCATCTTTCTTTCGAAGATTAGCATGGTCACCTGATGGATCATTTCTACTTGTTCCAGCAGGTAGTTCGCCTAATTGTATGCTCAGTGAACTGTGGACTTATGTAGTCTAATTCGCTCACCGCAATGGTTGGTTTTCCAATATAACATTGTATATTTGTTCTCCCCATCCAACCTTTTGGTTGGCAAATATTGTGACTGAAGTATTGAGTAGAGCCTTATCTGAGGACTGTAACAGAGCTTGCTTCAGTAGCATTGCCATTGGGTTTGTCTACTTTGGGCAAATGTAAGTTTGTTCCATTATTATAACCTATGAGATGGATAGACAGTGCTATTCTCCTGAATTCCACATCGGTTATATGTTGGAAAGATCTAGGGTACTTAAGTAAGGTCTATGAATTCAGATAGCACTTTTGGAGCAAGCCTTGGGTCATCACAAATGTTATGGGAGGAACTAGTCCAATGCCTACATGAGACTCAAGAGCCATGATTATGATGACATCTCCTCGGCAGTGAGGGAAAAGGGAAATAGGCCAAGGCTTAAAGGATGAGAAGCTGGGATACCCCTAAATCCCACATTGTCTATGCCTTGGGAAGTTTTATAGTACGTAAGTCCTTTCAGTTCAAATGTCACTTTTGAGGATGCCTTGGGTCGTTACAGATAGTGTGCTGCTAGGATTCAGTTTAACCGATTACCTGATTGAGAAGCAGAAAGACATTAAGGGTCTTGTCCTCTCCGATATTAAACACTGATTGTAAATATTCCAAGTCCCTTTGATGTGATGGCCTTAAATTTGTTTTTCAGCTTTTCTTGAATAACAAACATCAAGTGTGGGGGAGAAATAATTGGAAAGAATCTTTGGATCTTTCTTTTTATTTTTTATGGGTTTGTTTAAATTTATTTTAGTATTTTTCTTGGTGAAAACTGAAAAGGATAATCTGAGGTTTTCAGTTTAGGTTATTTCTGTTCCTGAAAGAAGTTAGCAATTATCACAAGCTTCTGAAGCCTAACTCCCTACTATCGATTATGACCACTTATGTTTAGTTCCATTACAATTTTTTGTTGACATAAGAATCTTCCAATTTCAGGTTCCTACAAAATATCATCTGCACCGGAGACAATAAATACAGCTTATGTATTTTCTAGAAAGGACCTTTCAAGGCAAGTCAGAGATATTACCTTTTAGTTCGGAATATTGTTGTCTTAAAATGATTCATATGTATATTATGGAATAAAAGTCCAGCCTGACATCCCTAGATTTCTAGTTGGGCATCATAGCATGATCCTATGCTTTTCAGTGTCATAACTGTCAAGCAAATGAAAGTTTGAAGGAAATTGTCTTCTTACATTTATATTCTCAAGTTTCATGTTAATGCAGGCCTGCTCTACAGCTCCCTGGTGCCTGCAAACCTGTTGTAGCAGTTCGTTTCTGCCCTTTGCTCTTTAGCCTGCGGGGGTCAAATCAATGTACTCATGCTGGTTTACATTGTTATTTTGTAAAATATATTGTAGCTTTGTTGGTTAATTATAGTATTTAACAGTCTTTGGTGAATCTGCAGCCGGGTTCTTTAAGCTTCCCCATCGTATTGTTTTTGCTGTGGCCACTTTAAATTCTTTGTACATTTATGACACAGAGAGCGTTCCTCCAATTGCAATCTTTGCTGGTCTTCACTATGCAGCCATAACAGACATTGCATGGTAAAATTTGTGTCAGTTTTCTGCAAGAAACTATTTTTTGGTGCTTATATTGATTTTGACTGCCGATAATGTTTCCTGTAATTTAAATTGCTGGTACTTTTTGTTGTTCAAAAGGTCACCCAACGCCCAATACCTAGGATTGTCTTCTCAAGATGGTTACTGCACGTTGGTAGAATTTGAAAATGATGAACTGGGATCACCTATCTGCTCATCAGGTTTTATATCCTTCCATTTCCTAAATGTTTCATCACTTCTTTTTATCCATCATTTCTTCCACTGTTTGGTTCATCATGGTTCCTGTTTCATTTTGCTCCAGAGGTAAAGAAAGTCATGCATGACAAGAACAAAAGCCCAGTTCAGAAGCCAGAGGACATGAAAATT